ATATTTTAATAGCTGATCAACTATTCGTCCAGCGATAAGTTGAAATGAGTGTATTTATTAATTGTGTATGGGATATTACCTCCGTGGCCACCGGCAATAATATCCTAAATATAGTGAAACACTATATTAAGAGCACAGTAACAAGATCGGCAGTTTAAGGCAATAAATTTGAAGCACAGAGACACAAGACACTGGCCTTCAAAAATCTGACAAGACTTTATTACTATTCTAAAACACAGAAACTAATCTAACACAAACACACACACACACACACACACACACACGTAAACGGGTTGAAAATGGCTTTGAAAAGAGAGTGAATGAAATTCCAAGTTTCTAGCAGTTTCTCAGACCATGACCTGAACGAACCATCAACTTATCAGTTTAATTTAACATTCACTTCGTTTAGAAGGGCTTTAAACTTGTATTAAATGCACCAGTTCAGCGAGAATCTGGAGGTACTGTACTTGCGTTTGTGTTGCCAGGATTCCCTCATTGCGTCGTTGTTTGGAAGGAGTTTCCGGCGATGTTGATTGGTCGGCGGTCTGGTTGGCCTTATGTAGCGTCTCGAAAGACCAATGAGGAAGATAAACAGAGTGAGGTGTGAACCCGGCGGAGTCTCGTAGGCGGGTTGCAAAACTTTGATGAATGGTTCACAGCGGTGCGAAGGCAAGAGTTGGAGGCTTTGCAAGAACCAGTCTGGATGCGGAGTCTCGAAGCAAGCGTGATCTCCTCGTGATGAACTTCTAAAGCTCTTGGTTGATGAGACTTCCTTCAGATGTGGATGGAGACTCTCTTGAGCTGTTAGTTGAAGAGAACTCCTTGAAAATGTTGGTAGAGACTCCCTGAAGATGTTGATGGACTCTTGATGTGTTGTATGAGACTCCAAAGATGCGTTGGACTCTCTCAAAGATGTATTGGATGAGACTCTTGCAAAGATGTGGTGGATGAGACTCAGAGTTTCCTTTGTGTCAGGGGGTTTTAACCCTTTGCAATTGGGCTGACCCCAAAGTGTTTGCTCCAATCAGCAGGACCTTGGGGCAGGGTGTAAACTATATTCTCCTCCTCTGACACTAATTAACATTCTGGACTCTGAGTTATGTGCTTTGCAAACTTTGCACAAGGTTAAGTTACAACTTTGGTCAGGAATTTGGTAACATGCATGTAATACATTGTACTCAACTTCACAACCTATTATACCAACCCTCAGGAAATTCAATAGCGATCACACACATACCAAACATGACATACCTGCTGTTATTGATACACTCACAAACACTATGATACCTGTTAAATGATCAAAAGCATCATAATGACCTGGTGGCTATAAGCATGATACATATACAGAATGACATTAAAAGAGGCAACAAGTTTTCAAACTCTGGTGCATCATCTTAAAAGTCATTGTCCTTACAGGAGATGTAAAGTAGCCTTATGTAGTCTGTTAAAGCTGGGTTCTGTGGAATGTGTGAAGGGTGGTAAACTTTGTGTTCCTGGGGAGAACAAAGGTCTCATTCCATGAGGGTCCTTGGGTGAGTAACGTGAATGTGAATGTGATTCCCAGTAACATTTCAAAATATTAGTACACAAAATCTGTCTTTGATATTTCTAAAATAAAAAAAATCATTTCATCTATATAATGTAACTTTCCTGTCAGTTTGTCTGTTTGGTGGTGCCTGTTGTCACATCCTCTGAGAATCCCATTTCCCACAATCCATTGCCAACCTCCACAACCCACCCCTCCAGCCAACCCACTCTAGATTCACCAAATTACTTACAGTCATCTACACCACATTTACAAATCAACTGTTCAGTGTATGACGTTTTAATCTGGTTTCTCACTTTTTTATGCTTTGGACTTTCCCTTTGCGCCAATGCCAAAGAGTTGGATAACTCTTTTGATATTTTAACTCTGCCTCGTTATTTCACTTTGATTTCTGCCTGAAGTTGTGACTGATTGCCTTACCCTATTTTTTTAATAAATCCCATTAGTTATTTTAATCTGCATATGTCTCTGCCATCTTCTCCATGTCTAACACAGGTTGGTCTTCATTACTCACTCTTTCAATTTTTGTAACTGCTTTATCCTAATTAGGCTCATGGTGGATCTGGAGCCTATTCCATGCACACACATTCATACACACTTCACAACTAGGGGGGATTTATCTTAGCCAATCCCATGTTTTTGGCAAAGGCATGTTTTTGGGAGGTGGAAGGGAACTGGAGACCCCAGAGGAAACCCATGTGGACATGAAAAGAACATGCACAGAAAGTCCACATTGACAGTCACCCAAGCCCAGGATCAATCCAGGAAACCTTGACCTCTGAGGTGGCAAAGCTACCTGCTGCTCCACTATGCCACCAGGTCTTCATTAAAGTAGTCTAAATAATTCACGTGTTCAGTAAACAATGTTAAACTGGTTAAACTGCATCTCGTTTACTTGTGGAGTAATGTTAATCTCTGACTTGGCTGTCACATCATTTAAATCTAGATTATGCTAAATCTGACTTTTTATCTCTGACCCAGAAAATAGAGATAGTTTAGAGTTAGTTCAGTTCAAAACGGCTTTTTAATCCAAGAGTAGGCTTGAGAATAACACTTCATACACTTTCATGTATGGCTTGTATTTGCATATTAAACCTGACAAACTTGTATTTTATGGCACAATAACACTTGTCTGTCACACATTTAGTCCTAACTTTCCTGTTTTCTCATAAGAATACAGTGACAGTTTTCACACTTTGATCAATACACTCATTCAAAT